TCAGGTCCTCTCAATTCTCAGAGGAGGAAGTGTTTAAACGTGTCCCAGGACTTGATCGATTTCACCACAGGACGCTTACACGACTTGCCATTGAAGGTACATATTTACATATTTCCCATTTATTTACATAGCTAATAGAGCGGCTTACCTATCAATTTGATGATATAGCTCTCTACCAGTTTCACCTAAGGAGACAGCGTGCAGATCTCGCCGTCTTCGCTAGGGATGAAGCGTTGAAGTTGGATTTAGATCTCGATTATTATTCGGTACAGGGAATCAGTCTAGAGATCAAGGAAAGACTTAGCAAATGTAGGCCCGAAAGCATTGTATGTCACATCCTCCCCAGTGTTCTCCACCCACTAACCACGGCTTTATCGAATCGCGACATCTGCTATCGGATCGAACAGGGCTCTGCAAAGCGTATGGAAGGAATGACTCCTGCGTCACTTGTTGCCCTACTTCACTATGTGAAGAAGCACAGAAATCCCAGCTCACTGGATCTTATCCAAGAAAATTCGTCTCATCAAGCATTATAAAAGTGACTGCGACGGAGAGGGTCTTCCCATGAACATAGTATTTATCATTATAAGTTATGACACGATCCAACAACAATGAATCTATATAGACTAATCGAACGATATCATGATAGAGTGGAGATCACGGAGTCCTCAACTACCATAGAGGTAATTTACAATGTAGCGAGTCTCACCAGGCGATTCCTTTCTCGCCCTTAATTCCTTCTTATAGCCGGATCCCATTTTACCCAGTATCGTTTCCTCTGGTGGCCCTAGTAATGTAATTTGACGGTCTTCACATATTTTTCTTAGCTTTCGACTGTTTTGTGAGTGTAATGGTGACCAAGTCGGACCAAGAACACGCTCGCCCTCTCGATCGAATCTGAGAGTTTGCAAATTTGGACATATATTCACAACAGCTGTGACTCCATCCAAGTAATCATTTGGAGCGGATTTTCCTTTTTGCCAAAGGTGCTGTATCCTTGCGAAAAAGTCGATCGTTGAAGAGGGTAAGGTGTCTAGAGGAAAACGAGTGAAATCAGTACTAAATAACCTCAATGCGACCAAAGAGCTCCATAGCTCCGCTTCTTCCACCTCATTCATCGGAATCGTCAATTGTCTCTCGGTGTTGGTCCATTGTCCCGGGAAAATCCTGAGTCCTTCGATCTGCCCACCGTATCGCTGTAAAAACTTCACAACAAAGCCTGGTACGGTTTTGACCGGTCGCACATTCCTGCTCCCAATCGGTAAAAAGAGAGACACAAAGCAAAGAGAAGGTAGGTCCCAAAGACTCAACGTGGATTCTGCAAGGCCGAATGCAGTGAATGTTAGGAATAGCGCTCGTAGTCGTGGAAGGTGAATGGTCCCGTCAAGTATCCCGCGTGAATTTTGAGCAGCCATCGTCAAACTGAGAGTTGAGAGGTTTGGTAAGCTTGTAGACAGATCTCGGCAGAATTGCGGTCTTTGATATAGGTCACAGAAGTCCATTTGAATGTGTAGGACCTCCAATGCCTCCGGAAACGTGATCAAATCTTT